CACAATTTGGGAAGTTGAAGACTCAATAAAAAAGGGGATGTTAGAAGTATTTTTCAGTCATAGAGAGTCAGGCCGGGGAATAGCCTAGAAAGTGACGTAGGGGAGGCGGGAACCATACAAGTTTTAAGGCGAGGTATGAAAAAGCTATGGAGCAGGGAGAGAGAGGACCCATAGCTCAGAGAAGAGGCGGGGCCAGGGCTAGACATGGTCCTCAAACAAATAGAGAATTAAAACCTAACAAATCCCAGGCCCCGATGAAAATGTTTGCAAGGTGTTAAGGAATGTAAAGAGGAATTTTCATCCCCTTTGGGTAATTTTTCAACAATCACTACAAACTGGCATTGGCTATAAGTGGAAAATGCAAATGTAAAACCTATTTACAAGGCAGGTGACAGGCCCTTTGGCTTCGAACTTAGACCAATAACCCCTTTCCCCCCATAGTGGGAAAATTTATGGAATAATAATTTCCGAACCAATTCGAGCAATCTTGAAAGGCATAAACTGATTAAGAATTCGTCACATGATGAGGGAATAAAAACGACAAAGCAAAATTTTCTGATGACACCAAAATAGGCCCACCCTTCATTCTAATGACGACACTAGAGCCTCCAGGAGATTTGAATAGACTGATGCAGTGGTCGGGGAAGTACAAAAAGCAATTTAATATAGAGAAATGAAAAATTCTAAAGCGGACAGGAAAATAACCATGCGAGAAGGGTTTTGGGGGCTTGAAGCAGTAATCTAAAACCAAGACAAAAAGTCTTAGTGTTCGCATAAAGCTAACAGACTCCTTCGCTCATATCTGAAACATAAATAAAAGAAGTCCTCAGGTTTTTTCAAATTATATATCCTTGGTTAGGCCTATTTAAGTTTTCTGCACAGTTCTGGTACCGATTACAGAATGGATAAAAGCCCTGGAAACGTACGAAGGGGATGACAAAGTTAATTCCAGTATCAAAATCTTCCCCCATGAGGAAGACTGAGGGCCCTGAATTTGCCTCTTTAGAAAGGGGTAGAATTAAGGAAGATATATCAAATCATAAAGGGGAAAAAAAAATAAATAAAGGGGATTAAATAGTTCGCTGAAATATTTAGCCCAAAAGAGACTCGCAACAATGGTTTCAATTTTGGAAAAAACAGATTCTGGGAAAAATACAGGAAAACCTGGGTTTTGGTAAAGAGTTTTGGGGGTGAGTGGAACAAACCCCGAGTCAGTTTTTAGAGGCTAAAACGTTTGTTAGTTTTTTAAAAAAAGATTTGTGGGGGTTGGGTGGGTTTTTATTGGGCCGACTAGCTTTTTGCTACTAGGTCATGCGGGCTCCTTCCCTTTAAATGAAGTGCCTGACTAGGTGGGGGCTTGGGTAAGCCCGGGGGGTGACATGGACCTGTTCGCAGGGTAGTAGGCCCTGCGATTTTTTTCTTTCTTTTTGTTTTAGAGTACGTGTACTTATTCCAAGATTCGTAGGGTTTGAGTCTCAAACGCCTGATTAGTGTTTTTTGAATATTTCGCTTGTTCTGCAATCATATATTATTATATATATTAATATTATATATATAAATTTTATATAATTTTTTATATATATATAATATAATAAATATATAAAAAAAAACTGCGACTAGCCGAGAACTCGAACCCTTCGTTTTTTCCCCCTCATAGAGAGCGAAAATCACAGACGCTCTAACCCCCGGGGAACTCAAAACCACAGAATCACCACCCAGCAAGTAGTGTTTACAGTGATAGAGGGAAAACGGTGGTGTGGTTACCGCTGAGCTAATTTCATTCTACTCCCCGTTTGGTGTACTAGCCTCCACAAGCAGTATATATATTATTGTAACTACGAACTAGTGGTATTTAATAAATAACAACACTGGACTAGCCTCATGGTGAACGAAAATCACACACTATATATATATTTATATATATATATATATATATATATATATATATATATATATATATTATATATATAAAATATATAATATATAAATAAATAATATATAATAATAATATATAATAAATATAATAATATATAATAATATATAATAAAACATATATAGGGGTTTTAGGAGAAGAAAAATTTTCCCAAACAGCTCCGGGGAGAACCTTTGAGTTTCTCTGAGGTACGTTTATTGCCCTTCTCTGAGGATGGGGGCCCCATTCCAGCTATAGAGGTGGTACTTCCCTATATATTGTTTTATTAATATATATATATATATATATATATATATAATATATATATAAAATTTTATATATATATATAAAATATAATATATATAATATATATATAATATTTTTATATATATATTATAATAATATATATATATAAAAATATAATATATATATATATATTATATTATACAAACAATCGCACGGGGATGGGTCCAATAGTGGAAAATATGCCTCAACGATGCTTCGAGTGTGTCAGGGAAGGAGAGCCCGCCTGCTGGCAGTGAGAGCCCCTCATGTTTGGGACTTTCTGTTGGCTGTTCCAGCTCCAGCCTTGGCACACGCCTCGACCCACAGACCATCCGCATTTGGTGTTGCCCTTCGACTTGCCGCCCCTATTCTCGCCGAACACAGGTGTATTTGTGGCAGTTTAAGCAGCAGACCGATTCGGGTACCATGGTCTTGTGGGGCCGTAAATCCGAGGAAAGATTGCAAGACATGAGGAGGTTAATAACATTATCAAGAGGAGCCTCACAACAGCTGGATGCCCAGCAGTAAGGGAGCCACCCCAACTATGCAGATCTGATGGCAGCCAGAAGCGTCCAGATGGTATCACCCTTCAAGCCTGACAGATGGGAAGCAGGTGGGGGGGGCTATACATGTGCATCTACCTTGGCTGATACCTATCTCCAATCACCAGGGAGGAAGGAGGGGCAGCTGCAGCTTTAGGATTCCCAAAAGTCTAGAAAAATATGGAGAAATTGCCCATTATATGTTTGTTCCCATAGGCTCAGAGACCCTTGGCTCATGGGGAAAGAGTGCATCTAATTTCCTTAAGGAGCGGGGAAAAAGACTCATCAGGTAACTAGGGATCCCAGGCAGCTAGTTTTCTTTTCCCAGCGGCTCAGCGCGGCTGTTCAAAGGGGTAATGCATGCTGCATTTTGGGCACACGCCCCAGCTCTGAGGAGCTGGATGAGATTTTCGCCTTTAATCGTGATACACAGTAACAACATGTACCGTATATGCCCCCTTTTATATCAACAATGTATCTCTTAAATCTTCTGTGCCATTTTTATTAATAAAATATTCCTATTGGTAAAATATTATAAAATATATATATATATATAATATATATATATATATATATATATATATATATATATATATGTCGTGCCGAATGGGCAGAACTTGCGATTTTGGCTTAAATAGCAACGCTCATCTTGCTATATAGGAAAAGCGAAAATTTGTGTATGCAATAAATTTCCCCAAAAATTCATTCTGAACCTAACGAAAAAAAATATATTTCACTGTGTTTTTTTAGTATTAAATTATTGTAAACAAATTTAAAATATATTTATTTGGGGTTAGGCTAAAATAAATTGTTCTCGTTATAATAAGGTTAGGTAAGTTTTCTAAGATTCTTTTGGTGCAAAATTAAAATTTTTTACATTAACTTTTAACGAAAAAATATATCTTTAAACGTATAAGAAAAAAATTTAGAAAGGACTAAATTTTAAACGATTTTCTTGCTAATTGACCAGTTTTACATATTTCGGCACGACATATATATATAGTATATATATTATATAATATATATTATATTTATATTTTAAAATATATATATATATATATATATATATATGCATTAAGATCACAGTAAGCAGGTGATTTCAGAATATGCAAAACAACCACTCTGAAAGAATAGAGAAATTCCAAGCGTTTTCGTGACTACTCACTTTTTGGGTTTTGTTTGCATATATATATATAAATTTTATTATATATATATATATATAAATAATATATATATATATATATATATATATATATATATATATATATATATATATATAATGTGTGTGTGTGTGGGGGGGGAGGGAGGGAGGGAGGGAGGGGGGAAAAAAAAGAGGGGAGATAGATAGATAGATAGATAGATAGATAGAGAGAGAGAGAGAGAGAGAGAGAAGAAAAGAGAGAGAGAGAGAGAGAGAGAGTCGTACTCAAGGTTCGGTGTCACAAACATATTATAGAGGATGAGGAGATAAAACAGAGAGAAATTGAGCTAGTAAAGGGGCGGATGTCCAAGAGACAGAGAAACGGCAAGAGACGCATTGCCAGGAAAAAGACCAACAGGAAATGAAATTCCCTTCTTCACTCTTTGCTTCATTCCTCTTCTTCTCCCCAAGTCCTCCCCCTCCGTCCGTCACTCCCTCATTCCCTCCCACCCTCCCTTCCTCCTCCTCTCCTTCCCTCTCTCACTTACCAGTCTTCTTCTTCTCCTCAATCAGCTGGTCGGTTCTCTCGTCCACCAGCGCCTCGAGATTGTTGGCGTACTTCTCCATCATCGCCAACATGTTGTCGAAGATGTTGGGTTTCCTGTCGAAGAACCACCACATAATTGAGTATTGTGCACAACAGCGAAACATTTACGTTATTGTTGGTGATGCATAATAGCAGAGCCTTTATTAATGTAATAATCTCTTCTGATCATCCTCGAAGCAGCGTTTTTTCCTCCAAACGTGTTTGATTCGAATCAGCGGGTCCAGGAGCTGTAACTCCAGCTATACAACCAGAATTAAGTTTGATGAGTAAGTCAGAGAGGATACACACAGGCCAGGAGCTGTGGCTCGACCCCTGCAATCATAAATATATGAATACACACACACACACACACACACACACAGGATCCATACATAGCTTTACGAAGAGGTACGATAAGGCTCTCAATAACAATAAAAGTGAATCAAGTAGCCGCCAGCGAAGAAAGGAGGCCAGGAGCTGAGCCTCTACTCCAGCAACCGCATATAGGTTAGCACAGGAGTGAGTACACTAGAAATGTCACTCAACCTCAATCAAAGAGAAGGAGCTAAGGGTGAGCATAATGCAAAGCATATTGCCGGAAGCACATACCAAGCAAGTATCCGCTGCAGTCAGTGCTCGTTTAGCGAATCGTAGAGTAGCTTTCAGGTATCTTAACAAAGAGTCATTCCCGGTCTTTACACAATGTGTGTCAGGCCTGTCTTGAAGTATGCTGCTCCAGCATTGAGTTTGTACCTAATTAAACATGGTATGAAAATGGAGAAAATGCAGAGATAGGCAACAAGGCTGGTTTTTGAAGATTAGTGACCTGAACCTCACGACTTCAGAGGACAGAAGAGCAAGTGAAACACCATACGAAATACTCAGAGACTTTTGATTGGGAAAACCCGGTCTTTAAGTTTTTCCCGGGTTATAAACAGGTCCACGAGGGCACTTTTGGGGAAAACAAATAGAAACAAAAAAAAGTGTGAAAATTTAGCCACAGAAGTTGTGGGTGGCAGGATCCACATAAATTTTTCAAGGTAGGCATGAAAAGGCCCAAAAGGCTGGGAAAGAGGGGAAATTGGCAAGCAAAAAGAAAAAAAATTAAGGGGTCAAGGCTAGAGCAGAACTTACACCAACATGTTAAATACATTTTGGGAAAAGCCCACAAATAGAAAAAAAATTGGGAGGCAAAAAAGAAAAAAGGCTGGCCCATTAAAAAAAAAACACACAAATGTAAAAAACAAAAAACCTTATAGAACCAAAAAAATTTAAAGAAAATTTGGGAATTTGGGGTAAGTTCGTAGCCTTTAAAACAAAAACTTCCCAAAAGATACAAATAAAACAAAATAAATATAGATATAACTAAAGAGAAAAAATTAGAAAAAAAATTATTACTTAGTTTTTTTAAATTTTCTATAAGCAACTGATTAGGAATAATTATAATGTTTTAATTAAATAAAGACACAAAACCCAAATATAAAAATGCAAATTTTAAATAAATTAAAAAAAAACAAAAATTTTTTTTATCAAACGAATATATAAAAAAAAAACAAAATTCGGGGACAAAAGGCCCCAAACCATTATTGAAACAAAATACAAAATTAAAACGAGTTGGTATTTGAAAAAATTCTCAGCGGGGGGGAACTAAAAAAAAAAAAAAAAGGTGAAAAATATTACCGAGGTAACAATGCGAAAAAAGGATCCGAGGATATTAAAATTAATTTCTAAATTTAAAATATAAATTTTTTCGATGGGGGAAATCATAAACCAGTGGCTTTTTGGAAAAAAATAAATGAGACTACTTAAAAACCCGTCAATTTTTCAATCCTAAAATTTTTTGCTGCCTTTATGTATCGGGTTTAAAATGACAACCCGGGGTAAGAAAAAGTAAAGAAAAACATCAATGTGGATTTTCGTTTTTTGGTATAAACAGAAAATAAAATATTTTTTTAAATTTTGAATCCATTTTGGGAAAAAACCCTTTAATGCTTTGGGTTATATTCTATGTGGAAAAAAAGGTAACAGATGGGGGGAGAAAAATAAAATAAAATTTTTTTATAAAAAATGGAATTTAAAAAACCCAAAAAAAAAATTTGGAGCCATAAAATAAAAATTTTTACTTAAATTTCTAAAAATAAAAACCCAAAATAATAATTCCTGGGCCCCGGTTTTTTAAAAATTTCCCCCCCCGCCCCCCCCCCCCCCCCCCCAAAAAAAAAAACCCCCCCCCCTTTCCCCCCCAAAAATTTTTCCCCCCCCCCCCCCCCCCTTTTAAAAAAACCAAATCCCCCAAATTTAACAAGAAGAGGTGTGCCGGGGAATTTTTTTTTCCCAAAGGGAAAAAATTTAAATCATATCATTATCATATTTTTCATTATCATATCGCAATTTTTTTTGGGGGGGAAAAAAAATTTGAATTTAAATTTTTAATTTAGTTTAATTTTTGCATGGGGTTTTTTGGTCCTTTTTTTTTTTCCCAAAAAAAAAAAATTTTTGGGGGTAAAAGGACATATAAAGCCCCCACCTGTGAGGGAGCCAAAAATTTTTAGGGGGGGATTCCCCTGGTGAGTAAAGGGTTAAAATTTTTTTTCGGGCTTTCTTATATTTTTTAAACCATGCCCTTATGTCTTATTTCATAAACCCAATTTTATACTCCTAAAAAATGAAAAATTGGTCAATGTTTTTCCCTTTAAATGGGTTTTTGGGGAGGGTGTGTAAAGAAAGTTTAGAGTGAACATAGAAAAAGAGTAAGGTGAAAAGGGGTACCCAAAGGATGTTAGGTAAAAAAAAATTGGATAACACATTGGAGGGAAGGAATATGAAAGAAGTGTTCAGATACTTGGGAGTAGACGTCAACAAAATTGGATTTATGAATGCGGGGGTTAATCTTTAGAACTGTTTAAAAGAAAAAAGATGATGGTGCATTGGGGGTATCTTTTGGAGAAAAAAAAAACTTATCCAGGGAGGCAAAGAAGGGAATGTACAAAAATTTTAAAATTGGTTTCCAACACTTTATATTTTGTGAGGCAGGGGGTTTGTTAATGTTAGAGCGGGGAAAGGAGGCTGAGGGCAGTGGGGGAATCGTGTCTAAGGCAATGTTTTAAATTAATTTTAAAGCAGAGAGTTCGTAGTGTGGAAATTCGAAGGAGGGGGGGATTAAAAAAAAATTTTTTTCCCCCCAGGGGGGGCCCAAAAGAGGGGTTATTGAGGTGGTCATTTAGGAGGATGGATCAAAATAAAAATGGGCTTGGAGGGGTGTATAAATCTGTAGTGGGGGGGAAAGGAGGGGTTTGGGTCATTGGCTGTTTGGATTTTGCTTTCCTAAACTGCCCATCCCTGGGAACCTCTGCAAAGACAGTGTTTCAGGTGTGAATAATGGTAAAAGGGTTTTTCCCTTCCCTTTTGGGGGGACCCACTCTGCCTCGGTGGGAAAGGGGCCCGGACGTGTAAAATATCATAAGTGGGCCCTGGAGTTTTATGACTCTCTGATAAAGGGGTTCTAACCCCGGCCTAGTTTTGGTTTTTTCAAAAGTTTTCTTACGTTTTTCGTGAGTCGTGTTGAATATTTTATGTGTTTAAAAGGGTTTATGATGTTACATTATTTATTTTAACGAAAATTTTACTGCGTGAATTTTTTTTTTAAGGTGCCCAAAATGTATGTTTTTTTCCGGGTTTAATTTCTTTTTTTCCGCATAGCCAACGGGTTTTAAATTTTTTCCCGATGATTTAGCAGTCGATGTTACATTTTAAAAAAGGGGGGGCCCCAAAACCCTGAACCTTGGTCCAGGATGTAATTTATTAAAATGAGTTTGAGCATTCAACTTTCTGTAGAGAAATAAAAATTTTTTTTGGGGGTGCAAGCAAAAGAAAAAATTTAAAACCAAAAAAGATAATACTTGGGTTCTGAAATAAAGACAACCCTAACTTCTGGAGCTTGATTGGAGGGTTTTTCCCTATAAGATAAACAGCAAAAAATTTTTGTAATATATTGTCGAATTTAAAAATAAAGAAAAAAATAGTTCAAAGCTTTAAAATCCGTTCAATTTATCTTGTTTTGACAACAAAAAAAAAAAAAAAAAAAAAAAAAAAAAAAAAAAAAAAAAAAAAAAAAAAAAAAAAGGGGCTTTGAAAGAAATGTAATAAAAATGGAGCCCCAACAAACAGGGTACCCATAAAATTCCTAATTTTAAAATCAGCAAAATCATATATATCCGGGAAACTGAAATTCAGCCCTTATGGGGAAAACAAAATTAATCGTTTTTTAAAAAACCCCGCTCGAAAATTTTCCCAGAAATGGAAAATCTGGAAACTATGAAAGGGGGGATACGAAAAAAAAAATTTCGTAGAAGTTTTATAAGTCAATAAATAGAACTGTCCCAAAACGAATCTTATCTGGTTATATAGCTTTTAAAAACACAAAAAAACGGGTTTTGGTGCGCCCGTAAAGACACCTGAAGATCCCAGTGAAAATTTTCACTGTGGCATTTTAGGGTTATGAGGGTTTTATTTTTTAACATTGATTGTTTATGTGACTTTGTATTTGTGTATGCCCTTTGCATAAAGTCCCAAATCCCAAAAATTTAACAGTAGGGGGGGCCCTCGTCTTTGGGCCGGGCCCGCGGGGGGTTGATCCCCAAATTTTTAACCTCCAGGTAAACCCTCCAGGGTTAAAAACCCCCTTGTTATATTTTCATGCAAAATATTTCAAGATAAAAATTTTAGTTTTTAAAATTTTTAGTAATCCCAAACCCTCTTTCCCCCATGTTACAACACTAGTAACGGCTAAAAAAAAAACAAAACATACCTAGTATTTTTTATGTTAAACTAAGTAGTGAAATACCGACGAATTCCCCCATCTTTCTAAGTGAAAATTTAATTCTTTTCTTATCTTTCCCATCGTTAAGATTTCAGTTTTGCACATGTTTTTATTTAAATCAACCTGTCGATATATGTTTATTTAAAATTTTATTAAAACAGAATATCATCATCATTACGCAAACACAACCTATTGGATCCTCATAAAGATTTTTGAAGTTTTTTAGACCAAAAATTTACGTATACATTACAGGCATGTAATTTTATACTAGCTTTGCATATAGAAGATCAAATTTAAAAAAACCGAATAAGTAATTTAGGAAGACAAGAAGAAAAAATTTTTAAATTGGAAAAGAAACGGGTTGAAAAAAAATTGCAAAAAGTCTTTATAAATTTTAGGATGGGGATTTTAAGAGGGGTTTTGAAGCTCAGAAGGAAGAGCATAAGAACATAAGTATGGGGGAAGGGGGCACTGTAGCAGGTCCCCTGGCCCATGCTAGAAATGCAAGGGTTAAAAGTAAAATTTTGAAACGGGGAAAAGCAAGCAGGGCACCCCCAAGCGTACCTCTGTTTTTTTGTGACCCCAAAAAAAAAATAGGTAAATGTTTCACACACAAAGCAAAATGTTAAATCTAATAAAAAGGGAACATGAAAGTTCTATTTAATTTAAATTTTTGCTACCGGATTCTACTCATTCATGATTTTACAGTCGTCAGTATATAAAAAACCTAGGGTGCCCAAAAAACCCGCACATTAAAAAAGAGAAGCTTGTTATTTATACAAAAGTAAAGCCA